CTAGCATCTTCTCCATGTTGATACCAAATATAATAATATGGCATGAAACCTCTATTTATTAAATGCTTCCAAACATTTTCACGAGGGCCTAATTTGCTATTGCAGCATTTCCGACAAGGACAGAACATCTTACCACTTTCCTGCGTGAGTGGTGTAGAATCTGCTTGATGCATAAACGTCTCCAACCCTTCCAGAAATTTGTTCGTCACCCTCCCGTTATTATCTCTGTGTGAATACATCCACTGCCGCAACTCGAAATTATTTCCCGGACCGGACATTTTTTTGTGTTTGATCAAGCTTATAGCTGATTTTTTTTTGGTGTGTTTCAAATGAATCACATAAGGTGGTATTTATATAAATTTTCGAATCTGAGCATTTACTAGGAAATTGCTAGGAAAAGTAGGTACAAAACACGTTTTTTATTTAAATTCGATATTTCCTATCCAGTTCCTCCTAATTTCGTAGTAATAAACATTTTCCTCCTAATTTCGTAGTAAACTTTTACTATGCGTTTACGAGGAAAGTCTTTACTACGGCTTTACGAGGAAAAGTACTTTTTCCTCGTAAGCTCCTCGTAAAATTACTAAGGTCTTATGAGGAAAACGTTTTCTCGTAATTTTTCGAGGAACTTACGAGGAAATTTGCTTTCCTCGTAAACTCAAAGTAAGGCCTTAGTAATTTTACGAGGAAGAATTTTCCTAGTAAAATTTCCTAGTAAAGGCTTAGTTTTCTTGTAGTGTTGAGGAATCCAGAATTGTGAAGAAGTTTTTGAGGAGCCTACCAATGAACAAATACATTAATATTGTTGCTTCTCTTGAACAAGTTCTTGATTTTTTTTAAAAAAAAAACAAGTTTCGAAGATATCGTAGGAAGACTCAAGGCTTATGAAGAGAGAATTTGTGAAGAAGAAAATGAACAGCAAGATTAACAAGGAAAGCTGATATATGCCGACTTAGAAACACAGCAAACTGTTTATGGTAGCATAAGTGGAGCCAGAGGTAGAGCATGAGGAGGTCGTTCTCCCTGGAGAGGAAGAGGTTGTGGCAGGTTTGGGAACTTTAATAGTCAAAGAGATGCGTACAGACAAGGACAAGGATGATATCTTTCACACATAACATGTTTCAACTGTGATGAACAGGGACATTATGCGTGTGACTGCCCTGATAAGTCTCTTAAGCTTCAAGAAGCAGTTGAAACTAAAACCTAAGATACACAAGAGGATGATACATTAATGATGCAAGAAGTTGTTTATCTCAATGAAAGAAAAGTCAACCCGAGCATGTTTGATACTAACCTTGATACAAGAAACGTTTGGTATCTTGATAATGGGGCAAGCAACCACATGAGCAGTAACAAAAATGTTCTTTTTTCTCTTGATGAAATATCACTGGGAAAGTGATGTTGGGAGACGATTCTCGTATTGACATAAGAGGGAAAGGATCGATTCAGTTTGTTTTTAAGGAGGAGAAAAGAAGATTTTAAGTAATGTATATTACATTCCAGGGCTAAAGAGTAACGTGAAGTTCGAATGAAAGACAACCTTCTTATATTGTTCGATCTTCATGGAAAGCTAATGGTGAAAACGACTAGAGCCAAAGTTACTCTTGAAGTAGATAATCTCGAGTGCTTTCAGATCTCAACACGAACTGAATCTTCACAGTGGCATGCACGTCTTGGACACATAAACACCGACACAATGAAGGAAATGATCAATAAGGAACTAGTGATTGGCATCCATGCGCTAAAGATTGGGAAAGAAACATGTATGTCTTGCCTTCTTTGTAAACAAACGAGACAACAGTTTCCACAAGCGAATGTTTATCGAGCCACTCGCCCTCTCGAGCTTGTCAATGGAGATCTATGCAGTCTCATCACACCACCAACTCCGGCACATAAGAGATACATATTCGTACTAA